GTCTCATTGCTGTCTTTTAGTCAGTCTCTCTGCCTTCACAGAAGACTTTTAAAAGTCCACATCGTGGGGCTTAGCAGTCCCATCACTGGACTCTCACGTAGCCGACTAGAGATTGAGTCCCATACCTGGTGGCTTGAAACTCAGGCCAGGCCCTTGTGCGTGTGTCTCCAGGGTCCCAGAAGAAGAATGGAGGAGAAGGGATTGTGGCATGGCCATCTCCTCTGGGGGTTGATTTCTCGCTTTCCCTCTCACCATCTCTGTCTCTCTCCGTGTGCAGTGAGCGCACGAGTCCTAAGGCAAAAACTTCTAAAATGAAAAAGAAGGAGGAGGAGGAGAAGAGGAAAAGGTGCATTGTTGGGCTGAATAGCGGCACAGCAGCAGCGCAGCAGCGCTCTGTGAGACTGACCCACAGGGAGGGTGGCAGGTTGATGTCCGGAGACCCTCCTGGACACACCAGGTCTGCATGTGCCTGTGATCCAGGGCTGACCGAGGTTGGGGTGCAGTGCAGTGCAGTGCAGTGTAGAGATGCTGTTGGCGGTGCTGCCTCTCTATGTCCCCCTCTCTCTCATGGAATAAACTTTTTTAAAATGCAAATTTGGGGCCCGCAGGTGGCATAATGATTAAGGTACTAGACGCCTACATGGCCAACTGTGCTTTGAGGCCCAGACATGGCAGCTTGAAAATCACACCGGGTGTGTGTACATGTGAGTCCAAAATCCCAGGAGGAGAGTGGAGGAGAAGGGACTGTGGCATGGCCATCCCTCTGGGGCAAGATTTTTCACTTTCCCTCTCACTTTCCCTCTCACTGTCTCTCTCCAGGAAGCAGAAGTGCCCTATGGCAAAAGCCTTTTTAAAAATGCAAATTTGACTGTAGCATCCTCCTGCTTAAAACCAATAAAGGCCATCCCTCACCTATGAATCTGAGCTGAGGCCCCCCCTTTGCTGTCCTGAAGGGCTCCTCCATAATGGGCACCGCCTGTCTCCCCAGCCGTGTCCCACACTTCCAACCCCTCTACTCACCTCCAAAAGTTCCACACGGCTTGTCCAGCCAGCTCACTTTTACAAACCTTATTCTTGGCATTCCTTCTGAGAGATCTCTCTCTTGTCTCTTCTAACCCAACTCCTGACGATCCCAGCACAGAGCTTATGGCCTCTAGAAACTTCTAGAGCCCTGCTCTACATCTGTGCCCTGCATCACCCCTCACCGATTCCCCCAGTGCTGGCTTTCTGAGTTCTCCAAACACTCTGCATGTACTACACTTGATAACATTTCTCTCTGATTCTACCTCATCTTCTAGGCCGAAGTCCTCGTGGGTGAGGGCAAATCGTATTTTTTAATGTATCTCCAGCCCAGCGCAGAATCTACCAGAAAGAAGATATTCAGTAAATGTTTGCTGGTTGGTGATGGGTTCAGGGCTCAAAGAAATTCTTAGAGTATTGAATTTCTGTCTTCGAGGGGAACAATAAAAAGATGGTGAAAAAATGAAATTTAAGTATGAGTTTATTTTGGTACAAAAAAGTTTGAAATCCTTGCATGATTTTTTCATAACATACTTTTTCCATGAATATTTTGGAGCTCCCTTGTATATCCCACCGAAAATATCATTGAGGTTTCCACAAATATTTCATTCATAATTTCTTTTGAAAAGATTGCTAAATTGAGGCCAGCAGGTAGCATGGTAGTTAAGGCCCTGGACTCCCACGTGATTGACTGTGGTTCACATCCTGGACCTGGAGGCTTGTTTTCTTGCTCTACCTCTCTCTCTCCCACTCTGTCTCTCTCTGATGAGTCACATGCCCTATAGCACATTTAAAAAGATAAGAACAATAAATCAAATTAAAGAAATATCAAAAATGCTAAATTATTTCACATAGAATAATATAATAAATTCAAATATGTTATTTACAAACATGTAACACATTGCAAATCAGCAGGTTAAGTGTGTTGCAAAAATAAGTCATTTTGGTAAAGAGTCCTGAATACATCTTCTATCGTTTGTTGGTTAATTAAGGAATATCCCAGATTTTCAAGGCTGGTTATTTTTAAAATAAACCATTGCAGTTTACAAAGCATTATCGGTGTGAGTTAGGAATTTGCCACTACGGTGTGGCCCAAGCAAATCGGGGAAATGAACTCAACCTTGAGACTGGCCTTAGATCGCGATGCTTTCCCATAAACCCGATTTCTATTGTTTTCATTTCTTACAAAACAGCCAGTGACTTGCATTGTTTGGATTTATGAGTGTGGGTATAGTAAGTTTGAAGTTATAATAGAAATGCATGCTAATAACATGCACCTTTAGCCATTTGATATTTCGGAGATTTATGTAGTGTGTTGTTAGAAAGACGGCTTTAGCATTTACTTAAGTTTGAAAGCTACTGGCCAAAAAAGGACAGAGTCCTAAGACTTTGAGTGCCCAGAGATGCAGCACCCACCTTCCAAGAAAACAATGCAACTGCCTGTGGATGGACCTGCGAGGGCCCTGGACGAGGCGGGAAGAACATCTCAGCATCTGCTGAGGAGCGAGGAAGAGCAGGAGCAGCTCTCATGCCCTCTGAACTCTCACGATCCTCGCTCTCAAGGGTCTGTGGCTGGGTCTCACTGCCTGCTTCAAAACATGCCGGTCTGTGCTCTGCTGCTGGGAAGGCCCTGAGTTACAGATGCTGGTGTGCTTGCAAGGTGGGACCTGGGAGGACACTCCTACCTGTGCCTCCAAATTCAGCAGAAGTTAGGTGGGAATGGAGATCAGAAGGCCTAGGTGGAGCTAAACAGAAGTGGTCTAGCAGCCGGACCTCACTGCCCAGGGTAGGGAATAACAGGGGATACCATAAAGATCCCATCTTTCTCTTTCCTCTGGACATTTTGCCAAGTGAGCACTGTGATTCAGCTATCCCCCTTCTCCCGGTCCTTCTTGTCACTGAACAATCCTAGCTTGAACGCCACACACCCTCTGGGCTCTCTCTCTCTAAGGATCCTGGTCTGTGTTGTGTTCCTATAACAGAATACGACAGAGTGGGTAATTTATAATGAATAGAAATGTATTGGGCTCTGGACCAGCAGGTGGTGTGGTGGTTAAGGTGCTGGAGTCCCACATGGTTGACTGCAGTTCGAGTCCCGGAGCAGGTGGCTTGTTTTCTCACTTTCCCTCTCTCTCTCTCTCTCTCTCTCTAGTGAGTACCCATGCTCAATAGCAAAGTAATAATAATAATAAAAATATATAAATATAATTAAATAAATAATTCTTTTTAAAAAATTAAAAAGGAAATGTACTTGGCTCATGGTTCTGGAAGCCAGGAAGTCCAAGATGGAGAAGCCACATCTGGTGAGGGATTTCTTGCTGTCCCTTAAAAGGCATCTCATGAACAAGAGAGAGGAAGAGATAGCAAGAGAGGACTGAACTTACTTTTATAATAAGTCCCCTCCTGTGATAATGGCATTAGCAGCCCTAATCCTTTATTAATGTAGAGCCTTCAAGATCTAATCACTTCTCAAAGGTCCCAGCCCTCCGCACCACTGCACTGGAGGTTAAGCTTCCAACACCAGAGCTTCAGGGGACACATTCAAATCGTTGTACTGGGGTTTCTCCAGTCATGCTTACACAGGAATCCCCCAGCAAAACAAAACAAAACAAAGAACCTTCTCTTGAGTCTGCTTCCCCTCAAGTTGCCCCCCGGTCTGGTCCCTGCCCTTTACACAGAAACTTCTTAAAAGTCAGGTTTCGCCATCCCTCAAGCACCATGTCACGTCCCTCTTAACCTAACGCACCTGGTTTTCCCCGTTGCACCAATGACATCATCCCCTCAAAGGTCACCAGCGACTTCCTGATTTGCAAACCCAGCAGCTTTCTGAGAGCCCTGCGTCCTCGTGGACCTCACTCACTGCCATCCTGTGGCCACCGCCCTCCTCCTCAGATGCCCCCTGCTTTCTGACTCCACCTCCTGCTCTCCCTGCACCTCACTGGCCACTTTTATGCCATCTCTGAGAACTTTCTACTTTTTCCTGTTCTCCTAAAGGAAATGGGTCCTGTTAGTCTGCCAGGGCTGTCGCAACTGAGTACTGCAGACTGCAGGGCTTAGACAACAGAAGTCTGTTTTCCCTCAGCTCTGGAGGCTCAGGTCTGCCATCCAGTGTGGGCGGAGTTGGCTCCTTCTGAGGCCTCTGTCCTCGGCTCGTATATGGCGTCTTCTTACGTCTTCCCAGGGCCTTCCCTCTGTGTGCACCTGTGTCCCCATCGCCTCTCCTTACAAGGATGTGGGTCAGACTGGATTAGGACATAGCCTCATTTAGCCTTAATTAACTCTTAGAAGGTCCAGCCTCCAGATAGGTCACCTTCTCAGGTACTGGAGACTAGGACTTCAACATAGAATGTTGGGTGGGAGGGACACAGTTTGTCCCATAACAACGGTCTTCTAGACTCGGGTCTTGACCCTTCTGTTAAATTTTTTTTTTCTTTTTTCTGGAGAGGTTTTTTGCTACAGGGCACGTGCGCTCGCCAGACAGAGAGAGACAGAGAGACAGAAAGCGAGAAATCACCCCCCAGGGGCGGGATGGCCATGCCGCAATCCCTTCTCCTCCATTCTCTCAGGATCTTGGGCACGCATGCACATACGCCCGGCGTGAGTTTTAAGCCACTGGGTCTGGGACGCGAACTACAGTGGACTATGTGGGAGTCCAGCGACATAGCCATTACGCTAACTGCTGGTCCCAAATTTTTAAAATTAAATTAATTATTTAATTAATCTTTCTAATTTCTTCATCACATTTAATTATTGTGCCTCTCCAGAGTACACATAAGGTTTTTCAAAAACGTGCATCGCGTTACCATCAAGTCAAGTCTATTACTGTACACATCTTTTGCTTTGCAGAACTTCACATTCTTGTGTCTGTCAAGTGCTCTCTCCCTAAGCCTCTCCCATGCACCCTGCTATCCACCCCCCCCACACACACACACACACAGTGTCTGATAGCTGCACTTTTCTTGTTTACTGCTATAGCTTCAAAAAATATGGAGTGCTTCATCAACTCGTGTGTCATCCCCATGCCGGGGCCATGCTAATCTTTGCTTCGTTCCAATTTTAGTGCATGTGTGGCTGAAGAGAGCACCTTTATCTTTTCTTAACATTTCTTTCCTGCATCCACTTCTAGAGCTTTATGCATTATTATCGAATACATGATTTTATTAATTTTGTTTCTTTAACTACAAAAGTAGGATATTTCATTCAAACAACGTGAATCAACTCAAGAGCCTTTGAAAAACAAGACTTTGAAAAAAAGAAAAGTCGTATAGTTCCAAGTAAGTAATTACAGCTCCAAGTTCTTTACTGAGCTTTGACCAAACCCCCAACACATTACCAGAGACTCCCCACGACCGCATATCATGCGCAGTCCGTTCTCTCCCCAGACACCTTCGTGTCTCTGCCGGTCCCCTGAACTCCCCTCCACTCTCGGTTCTTTTGCTTGCCTGCCCCACTCCATGGCCAAACTCCGTCACACCACCACCCCAACACTGGCTTATGATCTGCAAGACCCAGGTCAAAATTTGTGGGGCTCCTCGCTCAAAATCTACTCCGAATTTTAAGACAGTGACAGCAGAGCCTTCGACCACAAGAAGAGCCCTTCTGTCACACTCTGCGAAGCCAGCCTGGCCCTCTTCATTATCCTTACCCCACGCCCTTCTTCCACCCCTCCCAATGCTCTGGCTACCACCTGCCAAGGTTTACATGGCAGCCTTCTGTGACTCCCACATCCGACTCCTCTTCCCTCTCCCAGACCCTCTGCATGCTATCTCCTATATAAGACGTCTGCTCCTAGGAGCCTCTGCCTGAAGATGTTTTTGCTGTTGTTATTTTTTAGTTTAGTTTAGTTTGTTTGTTTGTTTGTTTTTGTTTTTGTTTTTGTTTTTGCCATTGGGTTTGTGCACTTACAAGAGAGAGAGAGAAAGAGGGAAAATGAGAAATCACCCCCCAGGGAGGATGGCCTTATCGTAATCCCTTCTCCTCCATTCTCTTTTGGGGATTTTGGACATGCATACACATGCACCCAGCATGATTTTCAAGCCACTGGGTCTAGGACTTGAACCACGGTTGGCTACGTGGGAGTCGAGTGCCTTCGCCATGACACCACCTGCTGGCTCCCTGCCTGGAGTTTTGGTATGACTTCATTTCTTACTGGGCTTGCGCAGTCTGTTCAGGTAGCGCTGATTTCCTGGTTCAGCTCCTACTCACTTCTCTTTATTCTTCTCTCTCTCTCTATTTGCTAGAGGGGTGTGCTCTCTGGAGAGAGACAAAGAGAGGGAGAGGGAGAGAGAAGCCCCCAGGGGAGATGGTCACGTAACAATCCCTTCTCCTCCATTTCTCCTTTTGGAATTCTGGGCCCGCACACACATGTCCCTGATGTGTTTCTCAAGCTGCCAGGTCCAGGACTCAGACTGCACAGTCGGCCGTGTGAGATCAGTCACCCCAGCCACCATCATACTGACTGGCCCCCCCGCTCACTTTTCACCC